AAGCTTCAGCCTCAAAAGCCTCCTTTTGGTTAGCTTCTTCTTCACCATCCGCCTTGTTTGCTGCATCATCAGATGGGGTCCGAGACTCTTTTTCCAAGAACTCTACCCTTAGGTCGGCAGTATCCAGCTCCGAGTGAAGTTTTCCTACCCTTTGAACCACCTTAACATAGGTAAACCTCCTCCAGTAGGCAGTGAAACGCTGTTACTCTTCAGTCGGATGGAAGTTAGCAATGTAGTTTTTCACTGCCTCCTTCCCTGCCTTGAGTAATGGCTTTAGCCTGTTCTACATCCTTAGTGTACCAAGATACTTGGGACTCTAACTACCCAACTTGGTCCTTCAGACCAATATTCTCCAAGGTGGCGGCATCCAAGGCCTCAACAACTATCTTATGATGGTTGTCAGAAGTTTTTACCTTCTTTGTCAAAGAAGCCACTTCGTACTGGGAATCATTTTTACCAAGGTAAAATCCAGCTTTACCGCCTCTTCAGCATGTTGAACCTTAAAGGCTTTAGCTTCAGCCTTCACCTTTTTAGCCTCTTTATTAGCCTGGGCCAACTTTTCAACCGACTCTCCATTGTGCCTCTGAATGTCCTTCAATACATCTTGGCATTCGATGCTGGCCCAAGAGCCCTAACACTTTGGCTTACTAGGGTCACTGTAAGGTCCATAACATCACAAGTGGACACATAATTCTACAACCTCTTAGTCCAAAACTAGTAGAAATTTGTAGAAGAAGCTTGGACTTCAGCTGGTAGCATGTACAATACTGTGAGGACAATTTTTTCATCTTTCCCCGTCTAAAAACTCCCTAAATTCCGAGGGGTACTCATAGCAGAAGTCTTCTCAACTACCTTAGAGACCTACTTCGCCTTTCTAGTAGCCTTTTCACTAGCTTCACTCGTCCTCTAAGCCTTCAGTTTAGAAAAAGATGACTGCTTCAACTTGGCATGTGGAGGTGGAGGTAGTTGAGCAATGGTGGCACCAGATGTGCCCAATTTCCTAGCATAAGAGTTAATCGAGAAGAAATTCTTCATCTTCTCCTTCCATTTTTCTTTCCCTTTCTTTGGGGACACCTCGTCATCGCCCTTCTCAGCATGATCATTTTGAGCACTACAGCTTCCCCTTAATGTGCTTGGCATTACCAAACGAGGGCTTCAGAGCCCTAGAGTTGATTATACAAGTAGCCCTAAAGATAAAAGCAATGTCAGGGGTCTGTTACTTCTTTCTATCAAAATTTTCTACAAAAAGAACAGTACGATGTTAATCTAGATTGCATGAAATGACAGAAATAAAGGACTTCAACATATACCTTTGGAAGCTATCAATCCAAAGTCCAGAAAAAAACTCGTTCTAATCGATGAGGCAGTCGAAGTGGCATGACCTTTTAGGATGCTTGTAGATGTCCTCAATTATATCCTACTTCACTTGGGATAGTTCAAACCGATATGCAGAACCTACAAAACAAACAACATTAGAAAACAATTACTAAAATGAAGGACAAGTTCAAAGGATAACTATTCATGGGCTTCGAAATATTGGGTCATCACAATAACAATTGGGACTTTATCTTCCTCAACAATATGCCATATATCCTTCACCCAGAATTAGGATTCCTTCCACCCTTTGATGGAAGAAGGCAGACCTACTACGAAGGAGGCATAGGCTCCCCAGGGTCATATAGTACTAATTTATGTTACACCTTGCCACTTAAGCTCCAGATAAAGCCTACGAGACATCTCACGTGGAGCTTATTCGAGTATGAAGCCCTACGGTCTACAACCGATGTCATCAATGCTTGATCAAAGTCAAAAATCATAAAATAAAGCTTAAGATTAAACAGAAACTTTGTTGACCGAAGCATACTCTGTGGTCGAAGCTAATTATCGAAGTAAAGTGATAAAATAAAGAGTTCCTAAAGTCCTTCCATAGAAGCCCCTCATACTAAAACAGTAGTGGTAGTAATTCAAAGACTCAGTTCGAAACCAACTTTTGAAATGGAATGACATCTCCTCCAACGATTTCCTATAGATAAAATTTTATTCGAATGATCGATGTGACCTTTGTAATGAGAGACGTGTCAGATTTTGTCAGCCTAAGGTATGGGGTAGCTCTCCATTTCAAGTGAATTAAAAGTGCCACAAGCTAAGAAAGTCAGATTGATATCAATGATGGGATGCTACAGCCAAGGAGATAAAGCCACATGTTTCTTCATTCAATGGATACGACTTCATTTGTAACACTATAAATACTCTCTCTTGTATCATTTGAAGACTAATGCAATTTTATATACTTGAGACTATATTTTACTCCCCTCTCTCTCTCTCTCTCTCTCTCTCTCTATTGCTCTTATATTGCTTGAGTTGAATGTTTAGCCTTGGATTTGCTTACTTTTCATTGTTCTTTATTATACAATCCCATTCATATATGTCATCGGCATCCAAACATTTTTGTCTCGATTCGTAGAGCTTCTCATACACCCAAATCAAAACATCCTGTTGACTAGTGATATGTTCAAGTGTGTTGAAATTAGCTTGCGCTGACGCGAGTGAGTTAGGCATCTGTTACCTTTGTATGCGTGTATAAAGTGGGTCAACAACTTACGTCCCATTGGAGTCCACTAATTAATTGTTTAATAAGTTAGGATACATTTTTATTTATTGAAATTATCATAGCATTTTTAGTTTCAAAATTCTAGTACAAACGTCTTGAATGGAGAGTAATGTAATTTTAGCAAATAGTATAGTTTGCTTAAAATAATTGCTGAAATAATTTGGTCATTTATGAATTCCAATAGTAAGAAATGAGGCTTCCTTGAAATCTTGTTGAATAATGTTATTTAACCCCCACTAGGGTTATAGCTAAGTCTGTATAGACTGAATTTATAACTACCGTGGGGTTAAATAGCATTAATCTCAAATAATAATATTATTTAGTCACACTGGGTTATAACATCAATCTATGTGATGTTAGGTGGTATGCTAAATGAAATGTGGAATTAAATGACCAATTTAATTTCATTCATCATTTAATATCATATTAGCACCACATAAACTGGAATTATAACCCTAGCAGGGCTAAATAACATTATTATTATTATAGTTTAGTGATATTTAGTCTTATTGAGGTTATAACCTCAATTTATGTGGTATTAGGTGATAAGTTAAATGAAAAGTAAAATTAAGTGATCTATTTAATTCCATTTATTATTTAATACTAGATTAACATCACATATACTGGGTTATAGCCCGTAAGGTTAAATAGCATTAATCTCGAAGAATAATGCTATTTAGTCCCACTGAGATTATAATCATAGTCTATGTGGTTCTAAGAGATAGGTTAAATCAAATTTGGAATTAAATAACACATTTAATTCTATTTATCATTTAATGTCACATTAGTACCACATAGAGTGGGATTATAGTCTCGATGTGACTAAATAACATTACTCTTTGAGATTAATGATATTTAGCTTCACTAGGGTTATAACCCAATCTATGTGGTGTTAGATGATAGGCATTTAATTCCATTTATCATTTAGCATCGCCCTTATCATTTGATATTATAATTTTTGGAATAGTATTTTTTTGGAGAATGTGTGATTGAAAAAGAAGTAAAAGTTTTTTTTATGTATAATATTATTTTACTGAAAAATGTGTTGTTAAAAAGAAGAAAGAGAAAAATGTATTATAAATTAATGGGGGCCAAACAGGGGCTTAATACCACGTAACACCACAAAGACTATGCTGTAGCCCTAGAGGGGTTAAAAATCATTATTCTTCGAGCATAATGCTTTTAACCCCACTAGGTTATAATGTCATCTAAGTAATGTTAGCTGATATGTTAAATGAAATGTGAAATTAAATTATCCTTTTAATTTAATTTATCATTTAATGTCAAATTAGCACCACATAAATTGGGTAATAATCTATTGGGGCTAAATAGCATTAATCTCGAAGAATAATGGTATTTAGCCTCACTGAGGTTAAAACCTCAATCTATGTGGTCTTAAGTGATAGACTAAATAACATTATTCTTTAAAATTATTGATATTTAGCCCCACTGGGTTATAACATCAATATATATGATGTTAGGTTAAATGAAAAGTTGAATAAAATGATCTATTTAACTTTATTTATCATTTAATATCACATTAGCACCATATAGACTGGAGTTATAATCCTAGTGGGTTAAAGATAATATTATTTAACCTCACTGTGGTTATAACCTCAATTTATGTGGTGCTAGGTTATATAACAAATGAAAAGTAAAATTAAATCACCTATTTAATTTTATTTATCATTTAATGTTACATTAGCGCACATAGACAACCTCGGTGGGGCTACCACAATCTATGTGGTGTTAAGTGATATGCAAAATTAATTGTGTTAATTGAGATCATAATCTCAGTGGGCCTAAATAACGTTACTCAATTTGAGTAGTGCGTTTTACATGTGGACTCCAACTTAATTCGTTCTTAACGTTTCTTATTCGTAGCTATATATATATATATACGTCTCATCCATATGACCGAACCTAAGAGGACTATTCTTGGACGAGATAATATACGCATTTCCAAGGGAATTTCTTAACATTCTTTCAGCGAATGCTCTTCCTGTTACACTTGATCTGCTCATTAGTCTCTGTCCATCCTTTGCATGCATTCTTAAATATTCAAGTCCTCTTCTTGCCACCCTCAAACTAGAGCCTGTAGAACCCTCACAAGGTACCCTTCACCCCCACCCCCACCCCAAAATAAAGATAGTCATAAATGTACGTATGTATGTAATTTTTTTTTTTTTT